AAATTCAAAAGTTACAATAGATTACAAGAATGCACAATTTCCACTGAGTCTGGCAGGTAAACTGTTTTTAGAGCAGGAATGACTCGACTTTCAATAGTGAAAATTAATGTAACATTACTAAATTACTAAACCCTAAACAGTTTCAAGTTTTATTGTCATGTACAGATAAAGAGTGTAGCCACATTTACCCATAATGAAATTCTTTTGCTCCTCAGCTTTACATGAGCATATATAAAGTGTGCAGTTATATTAAGAAGATAATAACAAGAAAATAGCAGTAATAATAATAATACTACTAAAAGAGAGGATAAAAGAGAAAAGTATTAATATTTAGAGAATTTAAGACAAGTTGGTATTTACAGTTTGTGCAAAACTTGTCCAATGAGCATTAAGTGGCATAGCTAATGAAATTAAACATCAATCAATAGTCATTTGAATTTGAATTTTTCAGTTTGGTATGTCTTTAACTTGGTAATAATAGGAACTAATTCGTGCTAGACCTGAGTAGTAGATACACACTTTAACTATCGGATTATGACAGTGTGTCATATGTATGGGTTGTGTGTGTGATTAGAGGTACAGCAGTGCTGTTGGTCTGAATCCCAATGACTAATGCAAAATTCAATGAATAATAAATCAAAAGTGTGAATGTTATAAAGTAGATTCATCAAATCCTCATTGACCTGTACTGGCATGGGAAAAAATGTCACCCCATTCACCAGCTCACCGTGATTTCAATTTAACACCAGAGCCAATTCCAATTACAATGAATACATTTCATCTCAGCAATTCATCCATCTTCTTGAGTGAAATATTTACAATCATCATAAAAAAGCACTTAGGCCCTGTGCAGAAAATCACTTCTTTCTCTCTGTGGACACAGAGCCGGGGTTGGCTGCAGCCAATGGAAAGGTTCCAGTAACATCTATGAGCATAATGTCTGAAGATGTCACCTCATAAATCCATTCATTCGCATGAAGTAAAAGCAGAGCACTAGAGCTAAGCACATTTGCGTAGCTAAAAGGTTTTGAAGAAAACACAACGCTGCCTGGACTATGTGTTTGATTTCTTTTTGTTGCTCTATACTCACCTTCATTGATCCACTTCAAGGGAGGTCAGTATTTTTGGACATATTCTTAGATGGAAAAAAATATTGCCACTCCCACTACAAACCATTCAATATGAAGCTGTATACTGAAAGTAAATTTCATAGCAGATACACTGGAAAACCAAAAAAGGGCTAAGCTGGCTCCATTAATCCTGAACAAATCTGCTTACAGTATCAGTGCAAATTCATACATTACAGCTTGTTTGTTTAATTTTTACAGAAAAAAACATTTTTAAAAAGCCTGGTTTCACATGGATATTATGATGAACGTCAGGTGATGTCACTTCCTGGACAACACCTGGGGCATGACTCCAGGAATACACAGAGCCTACAGAGAGATTCTGGCCATGGCATCCAAAAAAAATGATAAGTGATAGTCAGAAAATTACAATTCCCTCCACACCTACAGCAGCTGCATCAACCTTACAATACTTTCACCTTCACAGAGGCTTTAAAGCCTGTAATGATGTAAATTATGTAAAAAAAAAAAAAGGACATTGGTTATGAATATGATTCATATTTACCTAATTGAGGTAAATTTAGCTCCATTAATGTGAGACGTGGTTACTGTCTTAATTTGATATCTTCTAATAGTCCCAGTGTCACGGACCAGGTCCTGATATACAGGCGTACAGAGGCATGTGAAACCACACCACTGAAGACTCTG